ACCATGGCATGTGTATACCTATGTAAGAATACTGCAAGATCTGCACATATACCCCAGTTCTTAATGTATAATTTAAAAAAATACAAAAAAAGCTAAATGCGATTTTTCATATCATTTTCATAAAAACCAGTGGATTTTCATAATATACAAAGTGTCCCTTTTGGTTTTTATTGTTTGATGTTATTTTGTCACAACCTTTCTCAAAAAGACTTAAGTCTTCTGATAGATGGAAAAGTCAGCCACAATCCTCCACTTTTATCTGATTTTTGTGCTTTGTAACATAATTTTCCATGTCCTTTTTCAAGGGGTAGAGTATGTTTTCTACCTCTTGCCTTCTCCAGTCCTTTGACAAGCTTTGGCTAATGAAATATGGGAGAATGAAGGTGAGTCAATCCCAAACCCTGGCCTCAAGTGGTCTTGTACACTTTGCTAGTTGTCTATGATTCTTGTTTTACATAATAATAGACAGTTTAATAATTTAAACTGTTAGTTCAGTGCAATCAACCTCTGTGCACTCTGGTGGATGACAAGAACAGATAAGCACCCCTTATTGCTCCAATTAACACCATATAACTGTTAAGCATGAGATCATGTGGACCAGTCAATACCTGCCATCTCTCTGTCTGACCACAGGCTGTGAGCCAGAGTAACAAAGATCAGCAGAACTACCAGGTGGAGCCCAGACTGAGTTTCCCACCTGCAGAATCATGAGCTAAATCAATGATTCTTGTTTTAAATGGCTTGCTACAGAGTTAGCCAAAATATTCATCTATATAGATAAATGTAGTGCAATGAGATGACATATTCTAAAATAAATAATAAAAATGATGGGCAAAGAAAATTAGTATATAGACTCTACATCATAAAAGCTTGTATTAGTAGTTTTTAATTAAGGGAGATTATTAGACTTATTTAGAAATGTGACCTAACATACAGAAGCCAAGATTTCTTGCTATCTGGATCAGAACTAAATCTTGCCTCTTCCCCTCTTATAGCTAGGTTTCTTTTTTGTACTTATATAAGTACAGTGACCTTGAAATTATTTTGTGCATATTGCAGTTGAGCAGGCTAGTAAATGTAACAATGATATAAAAGGCTAGGATTCTAACTGCAAAAGTTGCAAGGGAAATGCTCAACCGGATTGTCGAAATTTGCATCTCCAGTGAGAGCAGCAGATATCATCATGTCTAATTCAGCTGGTCATGCATAGCTTGAGTCATGAGGGTAGATCACACATTCATATTGAAACAAATATTATAAAAACCTGACATGTATTTAAAATATCAGTCAAGAGATAATGGCAGTCTGAAGGACTAAAGAAGACTAAGGAGGAATGACAAAGCAATATATAATCCTGGACTAGACTAGTACCAGAGAAAAATAAAATCGTAAAAATGACTCTATTGAGGCAAATATATAAATTGGGATATGGAATGTCAGATGAGGCTATCGTGCTACTATTATATTTTTTGAAGTTAACAACTATGGCTAGGTATGGAAACATTTTGTTCTTGGGAAATACACATTTAAGGAGGAAGGGAGAAGATCATGACATATCAAAAACATGTTCTGAAGTGATTCAGAACAGAAATAAAATATACAGAAGTAATATAAATGAATGAATGGGTGAATGAATAAAAGATGAAGCCAATGAAAAAAATGAATGAAATACTCTTTCCATATCTGTTGAAATTATTTATTGGTATTGATGCACTAAGACTGTTCATACCAAAAATTAAATGAATAAACATTATATACTAAACTGTATGCATTGGACATAACCGAAATTAATTTGAAAAGTGTATTAACTCACACAAAATTAACAAATTTCAGACATGTGGCAAGTATCCTCAGTTTCTCAGGAAAAGCATTAGATAATATATTTGGTAATATTGCTTTTGTTTCCCTCTACTTCATATATTCCATGGCTTATAGCTTTGCATTTTACAGGTTCACATAATATTTTTGCTAGATGTGTGCTGTGTTATTTCTTAACTTGCCATATATATATATAACTATACTGTTACCTGGATAAGCAAAAGAGTAAATGGTGACCAAGTTGTTGAGGCAGAAACAATCATCCCCAACATTGCTGGGATAGCTGTTTGTAAGAGATTTTCCCTGAAAGCCTACCATAGTTTTATCTTAATTCAACAGAATGCCTAGAGCTTGGAAAATTTTCATCCCTTAGGACATTTAGTTGTTGAGAATTCTTGAGACTTTTTCATCTAAAAAAATGAAGTTTAGGTCTTTAAAAATTGTAACTGTCACAGGAATATTGAATACCACAATTTAAAATTTGAAGGAAAGACATTTTGATTAATAGTTTTATCAATACTTTGGGCTCCATTGCTCTGTAAAAAAAAAAAAAAAAAAAAGTGTACTTAGAGAGAACCTTTGTGAGGATGTGCCTGAAACTCTGCAGCCGTATTTAATACCCCAAGGCCAACTGGGCCAAAAGCTTTTATTACGGTGCAAGGAGGATCTTGAATAAGGCATATGAGGGGAGCAGGTAAACACTTCCCCAGGCTTCTCTACTACATCGTAGAGTGTGTGTAAACTGTGTCGTCTCTCCACATTTGCAGGAGCCACCGTTTGTTCTCAGGATCACTCATACCCATGCATTCTAGATCCTTGGAGCATAGGGCAGGGATCATGGCAGATTGCCAAAGTTTTTTAAGTAAGTCTCAGATTTGACATTATAAAAATAAGTTATTCTTATTCGCATACTAGCTGTATTAGCAACAAAAGACTGAAATTAGAAAATATATGAAAATGTATATTTAAACAGTAAGTGAGAATACAAATTATATGACTCTTTTCGATTATTTTTTTTTTTCAGTACTGACATATGCAGCTACATCCAGGTCTCTTCATGTCAAATGCACCAATAAAGTCTTGATCAGCAGAAGAGGATTCTCTTTGTCACTCATCAGAAAATTTCCAGAAAAGGCAATTATGACGGTGACATAATTTAGATGAAAGATTTTGCTGATGTTGCAAAGCTTAGATTCTTTGCAAAACATTCATTCAACACACTTTTTGTTAAGTACTAACAGCATACTAGAAGCTGTTACATGTAAATGGGAATAAGTAGAGTTTCACACCTCAAATCATGCACAGTCTATTAAAATACATGAACTATCATTCATGCCTTGATGCGAAAATCTACACAAAACAGTGAAAGGCACAAAACAAAGGTTTACTTCTTCTCGCAGCCAAGTAAGTGAAACCATAAATTATCTGTAATATTATTCTTTGATATACTGTCTGGTGTTAAATTTATAGTGATCTTGATATGCTGCTAGGAGTTCATCAAGGAAAAGCCATTAGTTTATCTTTTTTTGTTAAGCTAAAAAGGATTCTTGGCCACTACATTTTCTCCCTAATATATAGAATAATTTTCTTGTAGACAGAATCACTCCTTCAATTTTGTACATCTACATTTATGACCTATATTGCTACAAGAAAAAAAGAAGCTAATCACTTTATAAGTAAATATACTTTCTGCTATATACCTCAGTGATAGAGTAAATGGATTCAGTCTTTGTGATAGAAAATTTAGAACAGGAGTCAAAAGTTTTATTAATGTGAAGAGATCTACTCAAAGACTGCTGTCCTAGGATTTTATGCCAAAGGTATAGTTGAAACCAAAATAGTAGGCAATTCATGCTTGAGAGGCCAGAACCCTCCAGAGCAGAGCAACACTGAGCAGAGTAAGCTTGTGCTTTGCTGTGTGCCCCTCTATGCAGAGGTATGTTGTAATCTGTGATGTAATTCCTGAACATGTGGTAAAAGAATATGCAACCACAAGCCATATAATGATAATAAAAGAACTAAGGCAAAATGAACCAAAAGAGGAAACAGTCACAAAAAATCCATCAAATGTTACATAAAACTAAACAACATAGCAAAATGATCGATACAGATCTTTTTCAAAAAACTGGGTTGGAACAACAGGCTATGCTTACGTGCGGTAACGGGGATGAGCAACCAGTCGAACAACATTCATTTACGTTAAGTGGATCAAGAACCTAAATATAAATGTAAAACCTTAAATTACAAGACTTCCATAAGACAAACTGTGACCTCGAGGCACACAGATTTTCTCAGAATCCATAAATTACAAACAGTAAAAGAAATGCATAAAAATGTGTGCACTTTTCATGAATGTTCATTGCAGCACTGTTTACAATAGCAAAGACCTGGAACCAACCCAAATGCCCATCGACGATAGACTGGACAGGGAAAATGTGGCACATATACACCATGGAATAGTATGCAGCCATCAAAAACAATGAGTTTGGGTCCTTTGTAGGGACATGGATGAACCTGGAAACCATCATTCTCAGCAAACTGACAGAAGAGCAGAAGATCAAACACCGCATGTTCTCACTCATAGGTGGGTATTGAACAATGAGAACACATGGACACAGGGAGGGGAGCACTACACACTGGGGTTTGTTGGGGGGAAATAGGGGAGGGATGGTGTGGGGTGGGGAGCTGGGGAGAGATAGCAAGGGGAGAGGTGCCAGATGTAGGCGATGGGGAGGAAGGCAGCAAATCACTCTGCCACGTGTGTACCTATGCAACAATCTTGCATGTTCTTCACATGTACCCCAAAACCTAAATTGTAATAAAATAAACTAAAAAGAATGTGTGCCCTTTTAAAGATAACAAAAGTAAAAAGAGAGGCTGTACCACCAGCTAAAATATCCAGAATATATAGCATTCAGAATATATGTAGTATCAAGAATAATAGAAAACTTTTACTATTCAATAATGAGAAGAAAAAACTTAAAATGAGAAAAACTGATGCCAATTTAAAATGTCCATTATTAAAAAAAAACAGGAGACAACAGATGCTTGAGAGGATTCTGAGAAATATTAACACTTTTACACTGTTGGTGGAAGTGTAAATTAGTTCAACCATTGTGGAAGAGATTGTGGCGATTCCTCAAGGATCTGGAAATGAAATACCATTTGACCCAGCAATCCCGTTACTGAGTATATACCCAAAGGATTATAAATCATTCTATTATAAAGACACATGCACCGTATGTTTACTGCGGCACTGTTAGCAATAGCAAAGACTTGGAACCAACCCAAATGCCCATTGATGATAGACTGGATAAAGAAAATGTGGCCCATATACACCATGGAATACTATGCAGCCATAAAAAGGGATGAGTTCATGTCCTTTGTGGGAACATGGATGAAACTGGAAACTCATTCTCAGCAAACTGACAGGAGAAGTGAAAAGCAAACACCGCATGTTCTCACTCTTAGGTGGGTGTTGAACAATGAGAACACATGGACACAGGGAGAGGAATATCACACACCAGGGCCTATCGTGGGGAAGGGGCTAAGGGGTGGATAGCAGGGATTAGGGGGTTAGGGGAGGGATAACATTAGGAGAAATACCTAATGTAGATGACAGGTGGATGGATGCAGCAAACCACCATGGCACATGTATACCTATGTAACAAAACTGTAAGCATACCCCAGAACTTAAAGTATTCCCCAGAACTTAAAGTATAATAATAATAAGAAAGACACATTAGAGGAGATATATATGAATAGTCAACAGGGACATGAAAAGATACTGTACCTTATTAGCTATTAAGAAAATACAAATCAATTAGAAAAAAATAGCACTAAATGCATGTATTGAGCAAAGAAACACTGAAAATATATTCATTATATACAAGACTGAAGGACTTTGGCATAAACAATAAAAATTGCCCCAAAATGCGTGAGAAATGGATTATGAAATATGACAGCTTGAACCTAAAAGCAATCAATCCATCAGGTCAAAGATAGAGAAATGTTTGATGTCTGATTAAGAGAAAAAGGGGCTGGTGCAAATAGATAGCATGGGACAGAAGCGCCATGAAGGGACCCTAACAGCTCTAAGTGAACAATTATTCCAGGATGGGCAATCTTCTGTCACCTTGATGCACATTAACTCATTGAATCCTTAAAAAAATCCTACAAGGCATACCGTTATGAGTTACATATTAAAACTAAAAAAAAGAGAAAATTCAGAAATGGTGGAGGCTGAAGCAAAGCCTCTGGTTCCAGTGCCTAAGATTGTAGCTACCCCAGAGGGGATGAAAACAGTCATGTGAGCATATAAAGTGCTAGTATAGTAGAATGAACCACTTCAACCCTTTTTTTAAAAAAAAATAGAGTTTAACATAGCTATATCTCTACTAAATTTCTAAGAAAATTATTTATAGTACAATTAATGGGATAAATTTTAAAATGTAACATGAAATTCACATGATCAACATTTAGTTTGATGTATATGCCCATTTTTGTGAATTTAGCTAAGCAATGAGATGACTGGTACCACTCTTGCTACTAATGTTACTATTGTTGCTACTGCTGCTGCAATTACTATCATTACTATTACCACTATCCTTACCACTGTTTCTATTACTACTACTTTTTGTAGTAGTAATATTAGTAATTATAGTAGTAATAGTAGTATTGTTACTACTATTATTACTGCTACTGCTACACCTGCTACTGCTATCCCCACTATTAGTACTACTATTGTTCCTGCTGACACTACTGTCCTCACTATAATGACTATCCCATTACTCCTGCTGCTATTGTTATTGCCAATATCACTACTACTGCTACTACTGCGAATCTGTTACTACTGTCCCTACCACCACCACCGCCACCATTATCACAGGAGCCCTCCTTATCTGCAGTTTTGCTTTCCTTGGTTCCAGTTACCAGCGGCTCACAGTGGCCCAACAGAAAGTCCAGAAATAAACAATTTCTAAGTATTAAATTGCATTCTGAAATCTTACACTATTCAACCCCTCAGGGACCTGAACAGCAAATCCAAACTGTCTACTCTGCCTGCCGGTTAGTCACTTAGTAGCCCTCTGTGTTATCGAATCGACTGTGGCAGAATCTCAGGGCTTCAAGCAACCCTTGTTTTATTTAATAATGGCCCCAAGGCACAATTATAGTGATATGGTGACAACATGGGATATATTATAGAGAAGCCCTAAAGTGCTTTATGTGAAAAGGGGAATGTTCTCAACTTAGGAAAGAAAAAACTTACAGGCTGTGATTCAAAGATCCATGGTAAGAATGAATCTTCTATCTGTGAAATTGTGAACAGTATATTGGTATAATTCTTCTGTTTTATTATTAGATATTATTTTTCATCTTTTATTGTACCTAATTCATAGATTAAACTTTATCAAAGTTTTGTATACATGGGAAATAAAACCCTCTGCAATGTATAGACAGTTTAGTACTACGATCCATGATTTTAGGCATGCATTGGGGTCTGAAATGTATCCCCCATGAATAAGTAGGACAACTGTATTACTAATTAGTATAATAATTATAAAAACAGACAGGTTGTAGTGCATACTATGTGCCAGACCCAATTTGCTTTACACATATTAACCGATTTAATCCTACAGAAATTCTAGGAAGTAGATACTATAAGTCATTGCAATTCTTTTAGAGCATAACAAACATAGAAACCTGTTAATGGCTGCTATGGGCTACTAAAATGCAATTCTCCATTCAGGAACAAGGAAAACTACACAATCTAGACATTTGACAAGTCACAATACTAGTTGCAACTAGTGGGCTGCAAGATGTGACATTTGGTTGGCATGACCTCCATCGGTGTGAGATCTTCATGCAGTCTCTTCTGCCCAAGTGACTGTGAAGTTCCCACATTCCAACATTGCAGCCAGAAATGGTGATTCTTTGCACTAAAGTCCTTGCGTGATTTTGTGGAAGACAGCTCCCAGTCTACCAGCTTTGCATCTATGCCATCGCCCCAAAATAGACCTTTAGTTAAAAATTGAGAGTTAGGTGTTTGTTCATTACTTGAGCGCAATCTAGTTTATCCAGACTAAGATAAGCTAGTTTCTGGATCTGGATTTACATCATGGAAAAGAAAGTCATTGAGCAATTTATGAATATTAATACTAGTGTCTGAAACATCTCTAAAATTGAATCTAGCAGGTTCTTAGAAAAGATACTACATAATGACTAAGTAGTGTTAATTTCAGAATCACAATAATTCAATAACAATAACTTTTCTAATGTGAGGCAGTATTTTATAGTTTATGTGAAAAAAGCATTTCTTAGAACTTTACACCTGGCCGAGCACAGTGGCTTGTGCCTGTAAGGCCTGTACTTTGGGAGGCCAAGGTGGGCGTTTCTCTTGAGGTCAGGAGTTTGAGATCAACCTGGCTAACATGGTTAAACCCCATCTCTACTGAAAATACAAAAATTAGTCGGGTGTGATGGTAGGTGCCTATAATCCCAGCTACTCAGGAGGCTGAGACAGGAGAATTGCTTGATTTCGATCACACCACTGTACCCCAGCCTGGGTGACAGAGTGAGACTCCATCTAAAAAACAAACGAACAAAAAATGAAAACAAACATAGTTTGAACAAAACATACTATCTCATTTCTTGGACCACCACTGTCTGAAATAAGGCCTTTCAGCATCCTTGTACTAAAATAGTAATGAGGGCATCTTTTAAAAGATGTTTTCCCAAAGGAATTAGAGCTTGAATTGACATCAATAGAGAGATAAGTTGATCTCATAGATTTTATCAGTATAATTTTATTCTCCAAAGTGTTTGGCTTTTCCAACTAGAGTAGTCAATGTCACAAAAGTCTAATTCATGTTAAATATCATCCTTCAGTTTGAGTGTCCAGGATGAAGTTGAATAAGAAGTCAGGAAAAATGAGTTACTGTATAGCACTTGAAATCTGTTTTTGTTTATCACAAGTGTATATATCATTTTATCTAAAATTTTTTGGTGTTTAATAAGTAGAAATATATATAAAGCAAAAGCAAGACAAATACTGGTTTTCATGTTATGCTATGTTATGTGAAGACTCTGATAACACTAGGAATTAAGCAGTATAATTTATTTGATCACTATTGTAATAATTTTCAAAAATTCAATAGGGTCCTAATTATAAATTCTATAATAAAACCTATTCCTTACATTTACAGATGATTCATACATATGCAGTTGGTTCCAACTCTACATATGTGTGAATCTATTTCCTGGCAATAGAAAATATAATACATACAGAAAATTCATGTATTATAGATGGATGACTTTAGAGGTATAGTCAAACACTGCAACAATGTTTTGGTCAATGATGGACCCCATATATCATGGTGGCTCTATAAGCTTATAATGAAGTTAAAAAATTTCCGTTGCCTAATGATGTCGTAGCTGTCATGACAATGTTATAATGCAACACATTCACTCATGTGGTTGTGGTGATGCTAGCGTAAAAAAATCTGCTGCACTGTCAGTCATATAAAAGTATAGCACATGCAATCATATGCAGTATGTAAAAATTTTTGAAGAAAATATTGAGAAGGTCTGTGGATATCAGATGACTGCAGGGAACCATAGGTATCTCAAAATCTTCAGGGAACACAGAATTACAAGTAAACAAGAAGCAGACTTATTGTCATGGTATTTTTAGGATAAAGCAACGAAAAACCATGGTGAATGTCAGTTTCATCAGTTTCCAAATGTTAATTTAACTTTTCCCTTTGACACAAAATATTTGCATGGGATGAATAACTCAAGTTGTACTGTTTTGAGTGTTTTCCTTGCTTTATTTTAATGGCAGATTTAATGCACTAATAATGAATTTATGGCAGAATCATGTGGGGAAAAACATGCTAGCAAATAACGAGTAATCTACAATGTTGTTAGGAAGCGCATTATTACCTCCTCTGCAAGCACATCCATTTTAAAGAGCTTCACATTTCATTAAGATGATGAAGTGCATCATAAGCCATTTATTGGGAAATCATCAGCTATTAAGAAAATTAAGTTCTACGAGTTGTTGACAATTTATAACTATTTAATAGTCCAATCACTATAAGCTTTATATTGTGCATAAAAATAGATATGGGTATTTTAATAAATCTTATGAATAGATATGCAACTTTGGAAATAAATCTGTTTGCTAAGATTGTTGTGTTAAATTATTAATGGTACAAATATATTGTAAATCACTGATAATGTACTTTACATTGCTGGATGATCAATAGATCCATAGACTGCTAACAAAAGGGTGTGCAAGCAAAACGCATTGATATCGTATACCATCCTTAGTGCGTTACCATTTTTGGCGACCCTGATATGTGAGGTCTAAGGTTCCTAAAAAAAACGTTAAAACAAAGACATGATTTGTTAAGCCACAATTTGTATGACCAATAGGTCTGATGACCAGGTTTACAAACCCAGGTGTGCAAAAATCTCTGCCTATAATAAAATGATTTTTCAGGGACCTTAACATTCTCTAAACATATATTTGAGTTACTCTTTTAAGAACTTTAGTGAATAAAACCTGTTGTTTTTTTTAACATTGTTTTAATTTTCACTTAGAAAAGTGTCTTTATCTCATTTTCTTTGATCCGTATGAAGAAAAGTACTATCGGCAGGGCTTCTTCTGCTAGAAATGTTGATGGGATGGGCTGATGCTGCAATCCTACCTTCCATTCTGTGTACTGTTGGAAGATTGATGCTAAAGGTGGTAGCATAGATAGAAAACAGAAGTGCATCTGAATCTTTTCCATTTTGTGGAATTGCTATCGGAACCTGGACAGCCAACTCTCATACCTCATTTAAGTAAGAGAATGAATCCTTAAGAAGGATAAACCTCTGAAGTCAGGTTTTTGTTACTGGGAGCTGAAAGAAAGTGCAGACTGATAGAGAAAGGTCAGAATGCTACATACATAAATTCTTATAAACTATGATTACGACTGAGATAGACTAAAGATATTTTTTCAATTTGAAAAGAAAAGGGAGGGATAATTGGAAGCCAATCAAATAGGATTTTGTAAATCACTGGCATAATGTGACCATAAGTCACTGAAGTCATCAAACTAAAATATTACCTTGCTGAAGATAAAACGTCATGACAAGAAAACCTTGAATAAGTATTCCTAAAAATCACCTTTCCTCTGAATTTATAGAGTACAGTGCATTTGGCAGTTAGTTTCCCTACGTTATATTGAGAAACTATATCTTTTCACAGAAGTCCAACACATTATTAATAGTAAATTAAAATGTTACTTCATGAGAAATATACATGAAAAAGACTTTGGTATTAATAATCCTTTGCGACTGTTCAGTGTGTTAGATGATAATGTTATGAATGTTTATTTTCTTACCCAGACATATAGTCTAATTAACATTATGGGCATTGAGGAGCATTTGGGTTGGTTCCAAGTCTTCGCTATTGTAAACAGTGCCACAATAAACATATGTGTGCATGTATCTTCATAATTGAATGTTTTATACTCCTTTGGGTATACACGCAGTAATGGGATTGCTGGGCCAAATGCTATTTCTATTTCTAGATCTTTGAGGAATCACCACACTGTCTTCCACAATGGTTGAACTAATTTACACTCCTACCAACAGTGTAAAAGTATTCCTATTTCTCCACATCCTCTCCAGCTTCTGTTGTCTCTTGATATTTAATAATTGTCATTCTAACTGGCATAAAATCGTATCTCAATGTGGTTTTGATTTGCATTTCTCTAATGACCAGTGATGATGAGCTTTCTTTCATATGTTTATTGGCTGCAAAAAGACTTCTTATGAGACGTGTCTGTTCATGTCCTTCACCCACTTTTTGATGGGGGTTGTTTTTTTTTGGTAAATTTGTTTAAGTTCTTTATAGATTCTGTTTATTAGCACTTTGTCAGACGGGTAAATTGCAAAATTTTTTTTGCATCCCATTCTGTTGGTTATCGATTCACTCTAATAATAGTTTCTTTTGCTGTGCAGAAGCTCTTAAGTTTAATTAGATCCCTTTTCTCTATGTTGGCTTTTGTGGCCGTTGCTATTGATGTTTTACTCCCAAAGTCCTTAATCATACCTATATCCTGAATGGTATTGCCTAGGTTTTCCTCTAGGGTTTTTATGGTGTTAGGTCTTGTGTTTAAATCTTTAATCCATTTGTAGTTAATTTTTGTATAAGGTATAATGAAGGGATCCAGTCTAGCTTTCTGCTTATGGCTAGCCAGTTTTCCCAACACCATT